GAAACACAGCTAGTATGAGAAATCATGGTATTGGGAGGGAGAAGAGAGACCCTTTGATTGGAAGAGCCAATCTCAGTAAGCTTTAATTCCAGGGCAGAAACTTTGAACTGTTCTCAGTGTCCTGAGGGAAGAAAAGATGACTTTTTTAAGGAGTAATGCTCACACCAGCCTGTTGAACTGAACAGGTGGGATGCTGTATTCTGCGCTTGACCTGTGTCAGGCTGGTTTACCCCCCCCCTTTCCTTCATTCCTAGCCCTTTAGTATCAAACTACACATTTTTTAGCTCTCTTCATTTATGAGGCAGCAACTTAAACGCTGGATTTTGCTCTTTTGGGGTCAGCTGTGAGTCTTCAACCTGAGATGATGCTAAGCACACTTTTTCGTCCTCAAGCACATTTTTAAAAAATGTTAAATGTGGTTTTAAGAATAAGCGTATGTTTCAATCAGCATGCCTTACGCTTTATTTATGCTACTGTCAGTACTTTTATGAGGCTGACTGAGGCAGCAGACTCTTAAGAAGGAATACGCTTGTCAAATGTTGAGACAAAATGTTTCAGTGCTGTAAAGCTGCCGTTTCCATCAAAATCTCTCAGACCGTCTTTGTTTTCAAAATACTATCACATGGCTCACGTCAAGCCATGGCTTCATGCATCATACCTGGGGACAGTTTTGCAAGCCCATCCGTTCGCTCCCCCTCATCATGTGAGACATGAAATGTGGCTTCTGAGCAGCGGAGAGGGTGGCTGTTTGCTAGGTGAGGCGTGGGTTTCTTGCAATTGACCATTTATGCAGATTCTGCAGAGCTGGACATAATATGAAATAATATTAGGTATGCACAATTCTTCCTGCTTCCCTCCCCCTCACTGTCCTCTGGAATTCCTTTTGCACAAGTATGCAAGGCAGCAATTCCCATTATATTCTTTACCCTTTAACATCTTTCTAACCAAATCATCACAAGGGGAGAGCCACTTTGGGGTATTGGTTAAAGGCACCAGGCTAGAAATCAGGAGACTGAATTCTAGTCCTGCCTTAGGCATGAGACCAGTTGGGTGACTGGGCCAGTCACTCTGTCTCAGCTTGGAAAGAAAGCAATGGCAATCCACTTCTGAGAACGTTGCCAAGAAAACTCCAGGCACAATTGTATAGTAACAGACTTTGACAAAGTTTCTTAGGCTTTGGCTATCTGGAGCACATTCCCCTCTCACTTGGGTTTCACCAGTAATAATGTAGGAAGGTGCTTCTTAACCTTGGCAATGCTAAGATGTGTGGACTTCAACTCCCAGAATTCCCCAGCCAGCGTGAACTATATTAGACTACAATGCCTATTAGCCATGTTGGATGGGGCTAATGGGACTCAAAAGTCCAAAAGATCTGGCGCAGACCTAGTTTCCTATTCCTGACCTACTGATAGGAACCACTTTTTAAGTTGGAAGTAGAATGAATAATAGTCTGATGTCCAATAAAAACATATCTGCAGCAGGAAAGTATCACTCTTCTTCAACCTGGTACAAAATGTTATTTGGTGTGCTAAAATCTTGCATTGTTTATCCACACTTCAGTGGTGCCATGTTGGTTAATTGCTGCACCTTTCTGTGCCAGGTTGGGGTAGTGTATGTAAAGTAATATTGGCAGGGAAAATGAGAAGAGTACATACCATTCAGATTTTTATGGATAAGGCCAACAAAAGGAGAGGGGAAAAAAGGATGTAGAGGGGAGTGTTCTTCAGCTGCCAGTAATTCAAAGGCTCTTCACAGCATCCCGATAAGCAGATATGAAACCCAGGCCTCCCAAACCTCTTGAAAGATTTCAGCATCTCAGGTTTCAAGGCCAGGGATTGATGGAAACCTGAATGTCTGCCCTACGCTCCAGCCATCCTTCTGCAATAGAGGCTCTTTAGCTAATCTGCCAGAATCTGGCAGTGCTGCTTGTCAGAGCGCCTGCCCCAACCACAGGCTATAAAAGGTGAAGGGGCAGCTTGAGAATGCCTTTATAGCCTATTGTACTCATGCAAATTTTCATTCACAAGACTGCCTTTTAGTGTTTAGCCTCATAAGCAAACTATTTAGAGCCGTTTCTTTCTTTTTTTGTTTTTCCAGCATGTGTTTATAAGCCCATATGGACCTGCTGGGGATCCAGCTGGAAGATTGGCCTTGTCTGCTGGATGGCTCCTGGCACATTCCTTCACACATTATCTCACTGGGAAGGCTTTGGAATAAGGCAGGATTTAAAAAAAAAAAAAAGATGGGAGGGGGGGGTCACTGCCAAGGATTGGATTAAACTGCTCCCGTAATTTATATAGGATGCTGATTTTAGGGATTAAAGCGGTGTTCATCCTACTTTTCTCCGAGGAGGTCAAGGCTGCAGCCACTGTTTTTCGAGTCCAGTCACACTTTATATTAAATGTGTGATTACTTCCAGTACATTGGGGTATCCTTTTAAAATAGAACCAGTGGCAAAGAAAAAAAAAATCAGGATCAAAGGCATTTACATTATATTGCAATTTAAGAACATCTATCTATCTATCTATCTATCTATCTATCTATCTATCTATCTATCTATCTA